AGTATGGATCCTGGGCCTGCATCTTAAAAACTGTGATCTTAGGCAAGCAGTTGCATCTCTCCATGCCTCTGGGGAGTGTGAATAACCAAACCAGGTACGTAGAGTGGTTGTGAGGATTACAGAAAATGAGATGCCAGAGATACAACATACAGAGCTTCTCACTGGCGCCTGGCATGGACTGAGCACTCCCTAAACCTTGACTATCAATGTTCATTAAAGTCCCTGGCACGGTGCCTGGCACCCTTTTCTTCTGCATGAAGCTTTACTGCTTCCAAGTGACATTTGCATTCCGGAGCTCACTTTTCCTCTCAGTAAGCATTTGAGAGGGTTTGGCGCTGTGTCCTTATTCCTGATGCTCAGAGGACAGCTTTCTTTGCAGCCCCTCCTCAGAAGGAGAAATCAAATATATGTGTTCCTCCTGCTGAAAACCTCTGCTGGCAGCCTGCAGCCTTCATAGTCAAGCTCCCTCTCTGCTGCCAGGGTCCAAGACTCTCCTGACATCCAGGCACTCCCTCAGCTGTCACGTGCCCTCCCCACATTGCACCCAACTTGCCTTCCTGCCTGGTGGCTGAACATCTCTTCAACCTCGACTGCCCTTTCCACGCCCCCTGCCTGGCTCATTCCTAATCACCCTTCGAGGTCCTGCTTAGGTGTCACCTCTGCTAGGAAGCTTTCCCAGACCTCCTGAGACAGCACAACTACCATGACCTCCTGAGACAGACTGAACTACCATGGTGTATCAGTCTGTTCTCACACTGCTAATAAAGACATACCAAGGTTGGGTAATTTACACAGAAAAAGAGGCTTAATGGACTCACAGTTCCACATGGCTGCAGAAGCCTCACAATCATGGTGGAAGGCAAAGGAGGAGCAAAGGCATGTCTTACAGGGCACCAGGCAAAAGGGCTTGTGCAGGGGAACTGCCCTTGATAAAACCATCAGCTCTCATTGGACATATTCACTACCATGAGAACAGTATGTGGGAAACCATGTCCATGATTCAATTATCCCCACCTGGCCCTGCCCTTGACACGTGGAGATTATTACAATTCAAGGTGAGATTTGGGTGGGGACACAGCCAAACCACATCACATGGCAAGGGCCCGGACTTCAGCGTTGGCAATCCTGGCTCTGTCGCCTACCAGTCACACACCCTCAATAAGCTGCCTTGCCTCTCTAAGTGAGAGGTTTTAGGTCCTCTAAAAATAATACCTACCTCATAGTGTTGTTGTGTGGATAAAAGGTAAAGCCCTTACTTACCATAGTGCTGGTTCATTGTAAGTGCTTGTCAGACACTAGCTGTGTGCACCTAGGTACTTGGCTTTTAGTCCTTGCCCAGCTATTGACATGCTGAGTGGACGCAGACAAGTCTGTCTTAGACTTGGTTTCCCTATTCTGTTAATGAAGCATCTTAAGCCTCAGAGGCCTGTGGATGGTTTGATGGGGAGTAAATTAATATGCTGCCCACAGTGGTGGGGCCTCTGGTTGTTTTTTCAGAGAAGCTCCAGGCTGCCCACTAAAGAAGCCCAACTGCCACACCAACAGACCCTGCGGGGAGCTGGACGCTTTCCAGCCACCTGAACCGCCACGGCTGACTTGGTATGAGCAAACATAGGCTCAGGCTCTGATCTTGCCTGGCTTCCTGTGGCCAGTGCTCAGGACATGTTGTCATTTGGGTGCTGAGATGAACCTCTGGACCTTTCTTGTTCTTTAAGGACAGATTCAACCCCCTCTTTCCCTTGAGACTGGCATCCTGTTAGAGAAGGCATGGCCCAAGGCAGGAGGCCAGGAACACACTCCTTCTGAGGCATCCTGGACTCGTCATCTTTCTCATTCCCCCACCTTACTGTCCCCCGTCCCCCACCCATAGGAGGACTGAAGACCCATGAGTTCTACCAGTAAATAGCCCTTGACCACCCCTTTTCTCTGCCCACTTGGTCCCAGCCCTTGGCATCCCTTTTATTGGGCTGTTGTAGTGAAAGGTCATGCTAGGTGAGATACCGTGGCTCGTGCCTATAATTCCAGAGCTTTGGGAAGCCAAGGCAGGAGCATCTCTTGAGGCCAAGAGTTCAAGACCAGCCTGGGCAACACAGTGAGACCCTCAGCTCTAAAAAAAAAAAAAAAAAAAAAAGCTCTGCGTGGTGGGGCACACCTGTAATCCCAACTCCTTGGGAAGCTGAGGGAGGAGGATCATTTGATCCTAGGAGTTTGAGGTTGCAGTGAGCTATGATCATGCCAGTGCATTCAGCCTGGGTGACAGAATAAGACTCTGTCTCTAGAAATATATATACGTAGATACAGATTGTGGTAGATCCAGTTTCCAGGCTAAATTGCCCTTGATGATAGCCCACTGCCATGCTAAGCTCTCCATAATCCATCCCCTGCTCATCCCTCTTACCTCTTCTCCTCGCTCCTCACCCACCCTCTACTGTGGCCTCTCTGGCCTGTTGGACATTTGCTGGCTGAGCTGTACAGTTCACTTCCATGACTTTGTTCACATGCCCCCTCATCCTGGAATGTCCATTTTGTCCCCTCCTACCTCTGGAAATTCTTCTAGCCTCCATAGCTGGCCCAAAGTCCTCCTCCTCTGGGAAGGAAGGCTCCTCTGGTTCAGGGTCAGAATTAAGGACACCCGAGGGCTCTCTCAGCTCCTGCTTGCACTGCAGTTGAAGAGAAAATCAGCGGAACGTGCCAGAGCTGAGAGCTAACAGTCCCTTGGGCAAGATTCCTGAGGAACACTGTTCCAGGAGCTCCTCAGTTGGTCCGGGTCAGAAATGTGATTGTCCTTGCTCTGGGAGACCCTCCTCGGAGCCCTTGGCCCAGCATTTCCTGCAGTCGCAGCCCTCCCTCCATGGTGTGAGGTGCTTCCTCCAGGTGACCCTGAGCTCCTCGTGTACTAGGATCCAGGTCTCTTCTCTGGGGGCTTAGCATCTGGCTCACAGTTTGGTCCAAAGCAGGTTTGCAGAGGCTGATGAGCGAACGATTATATGAGGCAATAAATAAATCAGAGCTCACCAGTCCCTTCAATGCCCATTTTCAGTTTTCTTTTTTTCCTTAAAAAAATTTTTTTTTTACTTTAAGTCTTACTTTTTTTTTACTTACTAAAAAATTTTTTTACTCTAAGTACCGGGATACACATGCAGGTTTCTTACATAGGTATACACATGCCACGGTCGTTTGCTGCATCCTGTCATCTAGGTTTTAAGCCCCCATTTGTCCTGATGCTCTCCCTCCCCATACCCCCCACCACCGACAGGCCCCAGTGTGTGATGTTCCCCTCCCTGTGTCCATGTGTTCTCACTGTTCAGCTCGCACTGATGAGTGAGAATGTGCAGTGTTTGGTTTTCTGTTCCTGTGCTAGTTTGCTGAGGATGATGGCTTCTAGCTTCGTCCACGTCTCTGCAAAGGACATGATCTCATTCCTTCTTATGGCTGCCATTTTCAGTTTTCAAAACTCAGAAAACTGATATGTAAAACCAATTTTATTAATTTTCAGTGGGGACATGTCTGTCTCCCTCGACAAGAGCCCTCCCATCAGGCAGATCCCAAGTCTCTCTTTCAGAATATGGGTTGCACACTTTCTGACCCTCAATCTCATGTTTTCTTTTTATTAAAAAGAAATTTTTCGAGACAGGGTCTTTATTGCCCAGGCTGGACTGCAGTGGCATGATCATGCCTCATTGCAGCCTCAACGTCCCAGGCGCAAACGATCCTCCCACCTTAGCCTTCTGAGTAGCTAGGACTACAAGCATGCACCACCATGCCCAGCTATTGTTTTTCCCTATTTTTTGTAGAGACAGGTTCTCCCTATGTTGCCCAGGCTGGTCTCAAACTCCTGGGCTCAAGTGGGACACTTCCACCTCAGTGTCCCAAAGTGCTGGGATTGTAGGTGTGAGCCACTGTACCTGACAAGCTCACTTTTAAAATACCCCACAGAGACTCTGCCCTGGCCAAGGTATAATTACACTGGTAGCTGGAAAGGCTTCTGGGCTCGGGTACCATAGACTGTATTTGGGTCCCAGTTCCAGCACTGACTTTGCTGTATGATTCTGGACAAGTCATTGCCCTCTCTGGGCCTCAGTTTTCTCATCCATCTAATGGAAATGATCATCCTTGCCTGCCTGGGCGGTGTGAAGCTGGAAAGATAAGCAGAGAAGCAGCTCATTCAGGCTCCAGGACCAAAATATAGTCCCTACTTCCAGAAAACTGGGCTGTTTAGGCGGGCAGCTGGGCATAGAGTGGAGGGCGGGGAGTGGTGGTGTGGAGAGCAGGGTGGACAGACAGAAGACTGGTGAGGAGCCCTTTAAGCTGCTCTTTCTCCAGATCTTCTGTTCTACAGCTCGGAGTTTCCTGTGGTGGCTTCCCACTGGTAGGATGCCAGATATCCTGTTTCACGTGCTGTGTCACGTGGTTAAACCAGTAGAGCCTGCGGGGTTAACTGAACTGGGGGAGATGCTAAGGTTGCATCCAAGCCCAGTATCTCTGCCTTAGGTACCAAAGGGGTAGGAAGTGGCATATGTTTCACATATGTGCCATCCATGAAGGCTAAACTCGGCTTGTCATTTAGGCCCCAGACATATCATCACTCCAAGGGATGATGAGATTAGGATCCACAAGTCTGTCTTGGAGCAGTTAGCAGATTTCCTATGAGACACCCCAGAGACAGGCATGAAATCATGGAAGTAGATTCCTTTTCTCTTTGTTTATGTTTTTGTTTTGTTTTATTTTTTTGAGACAAGGTCTTACTCTGTCACTCAGGCTGGATGGAGTGCAGTGGTATGGTCACAGCTCACTGCAGCCTTGACCTCCTGGGTTCACACAGTCCCCCCACCTCAGCCTCCCTAGTAGCTGGGACTATAGGTGTGCGCCACCATGCCTGGCTAATTTTTGTATTTTTGGTAGAGACAGGGTTTCATCACCTCATCTGTGTTAGAAGCCACCTAACATGGTAATGAGCTCCTGGTCATTGGAGGCATTCAAGCAGAGACTGAACAACTTGAAAGCAGGAGAGAAAATTCCTCTTCAGAAATGGTTGTAGATCCCATTTCAAAGGCTCCTTCCTGCCCTTGTGAGCTAGGATTCAATTTTCATGTGCAGGGTTATCAGTGCCATTCTAGCCAGCCTTCCATGCTGGCCTGAGTAGCCCACTCAGGGTCCGGGACAGGCATACTCATCGGACCAGTCGGAGCAGTGCTGTATGTGGTCGCGGCAGAGACGCCTCGGAATACAGTCGCAGTACTTGAAGAAGGTTGAAGGACAATGCCACCACCCAGGGCCACAGGGTGGGCACACAGTCACTGGGGAGACAAGAGCCAGCAGGAGAGCAGTTGCTGTGTCCTGGAATGCTCTGTGCAGCAGGGCACTCCCTAGTTCTGAAACCTGCTCTAGCTCCCCATGGCCCCAACCTATCTAATATGGGTTGAGTGTGTTCCTAGTTTTCCTGCAGCAGAGAGAATCTAGACTCCACAGCTCACAGGCTATATGACTTTGCTCACCCTGTCTGAACCTGTTTCCTAGTGTGCTCAAGCTTGTTATTAAGCAAAGGATGTCAGGCAAAGTCCCAGGCACATGGTAAAGGCTGCAATATGAATGGGTGCCCTTCCTTACCCTAAGTCCAGCCACATTTACCTGCCATGACTCCCCGAGAGTGCTCCTAGCCTTCTCTCCTCTGCTCAGGCCTCAGGCATTCCTCCCCACACACCCAGCCTCTGCCTACTGAAACCTGTCTATTCTTGGTCTTCCTGAATGCCACCTCTTCTGAGAAGTCTCCCTTGATTCCTCCAGGTCCCCAGCATCTCCTTTTGGCATCAGCATGATGTAAGTCCTGGGGGTAGGACACAGGCTTGATTCCTGATGTCCCCCACCTGAATCTGATACCAGGTGTGTTCTGAGCACCCCACCAGTGCTCAAAAAATGTTTGTTGATTGACCACTGGGGAAGAAATTGAGAGGAAACTCTAGGGCAGCTATAGGCCTTGGGACTTGGATCAGGAGGCCTGGGTTCACACCTGAGCTCCCTTCCTGTCATGCACTGTACTAATTTTCTCTGCTCAAAGCCTCAGTTTACTTACAAACAAATTGGGGCCGATGATTCCTGCCCTGCTTTCCTCACAGGGTTATTGGGAGGTGCAGAGATGAGGGAACCCCAGGTTCAAATCCCAGCAGGGTCACGTATGTACTCCTTGCATGACCACCTTCTGGGACCCAGTTTTCTCATCTGCGCCCTTGAAGGCGACTTCCCCACTGCAGAAGAATGAGCCTCCAGAAAAAGTCACTTGGAGTGGTGGTGAGTACCCCACCACAAGATGTATTCAAGCAGGGGTAGAGAACTCCTTCCTAGGATGCAGAGAAGGCATGCAAAGGGGAGCCCTAGAGATTCCCTGGTCACCCTTTGCCCTCTGGCTGCTGCCCAGCCACCGGCTCCAGCCCAGCCTGTGCCCAGACCCCCACCTGGGCTCAGTTCATCCGAGCAGTCCCCACAGTTGTTAGTGCCATCACATTTTTGGTCTGAGTAGATCCAGGAGGCCGGGTCTCCACAGTGGGCCACGAGGAAGCGGGGGAGGCTCTGGGGCACATCTCCTGGGACAGAGGAGGCAGGAAGAAGTTCACATCTGGTCACAGCTGTCTGAGGGTTATCTGGAGAAGGATTGGCCACCCTGGCAGTTGCCAAACTCAGGATCAGTGACCATCCAGCCCATAAGGGTGCAAGCAGAAGGTTTCCTGGGGAGGCAGCAGAGTCAGAGGGAGAGGAGAGCTCCATCGCTGGACAGAGGCCCAGAGAGCTGCCCCCCACTTCCTCAGTTCCTCCCCAGCCGTGGTGTGTTCCTGCCCCACGCCACTGCTGATCCTATGCCCCTCCACAAAGAGCCTCCTTAATACCTATCCAAAACCATTCCACTTTCAAGTTCAGGTTCAAGTTCCATCACCTCCAGGAAGCCTCCTCCAACTGGAGCATCACAGGAATAAATGTGCAAGTCTTACAGTTGGGCCCCGGAGCTCAGGGGATGTAGGGTTCACACACCTGGTAAGGCAGAGTCGGAGGACCTTTCTTGAAAATGTGTTCTGTTAGGCAGCAGTGTGATAGGGCTACCAAAAATTCACACAAACTCAGGCCACACCACTAGAGGTAGAAAACCTCGGGCAGGGAGGGAGCAAGCTTCTGTTCCTTAGACTGCCCAGACCCAGCCAGAAGCGCCGAGGATGTTTCTGAGGCCTGTCCAGGGAGGGGGACATGGGCAGTTGGTATTTATTCTGTGGAG